TCGGCTTGCCGGTTCGCGCCTGCACGCCCGCACTCGGGAGGACTCGGTCCAATTGGCACGCATATTGGAATTCTATTACCGGGATTACGGCCGGTAATTGCTCGGTTTAGCGCAATATCGCACGGCCGTCTGTGCGCGCCGTCGAGCCGCGTCGCGACGCTCCGGCAGGCCGATGGCGATCGTCCAGCGCGTGCAGGATTATCCGCGCGCCTGATCGCCGCTCGCGCGTGCGTTCCCTCATTACGATCAACGACTAATTAGTGGGGTACCAAATGATGGGTGATGGGATACTAAAAATGTTCATTTCCTGCTCTGTCTAGTGTTATTATTGTTGTCTTTAAAAGCGCGAATAATTGTACAGCTTGGATAATTGTAATAAATCGGGCCTTTTTTCTAGCGAGATATTTTACTGAAAGAAAAAAATAATTGCAATTATTCATAATTTGTTACCAATTATATCATTTTCGATACCAATTATATATTTTTTGATTTTAGAACTATCATTAGGCATGTAAAAAAATCTTTTGATCTAGAGATTAGACCATGGTATTCTGATGTGTTATTAATATTATATTAGTATTATAAACAATTATAAGTAACAATTATAACAATTAATTTATCGTGCAACTATAATCATAAATACCAAACACTTTTCTCTTGGTATAATAATTTTAAGTACCTTTATCAAACGGATATGGACGTAATTATTATAGGTAAATGATATTAATAAATTTTTAATACGTTGCTACGACTATTCACAAAATGCTATTCTCGTGTCAATGTGTGTTCTTGAGATTTCAGATTAACATTCATAAATAGGATTATCTAATGGATCAACAATATTAATGTAAACATAGCTATCTATTTATTTGCTTCTATGGCCGTTTGATTTCGACTTGCATTTGAGATAGATCGCTCGAAAGCTTAGCAAGTTTGTGATGTACAACATCCTTTGTAGGGCCCAATTACGCAATCGCGACTGCTAAGACGGATCGTGCAGCGGTTTTGGTAAGTGAAAGCTAAGATTGATTAATTAATGCGATGGAATACTGCAAATAATTAAATAATGCAAGTCCCTGGGGCTATTCACGTATAGGAGTCAAAGGACTGCAATATTCGCAATTAGAATATTGATGTGTAGGAATTATATATGTAGACCTTTGGAAACACACAATATTTAGTTTAGATTTTTTTTTTAGTTTAGATTTTAGTTTAGATTTGTAAAAATTTGTATTAATTTCGACTGAATCGACGATACAAGAGGTAGAATTTAAGTATCGTTGATAATACAAAATTATACGTATTTTATATATTTTTTTAAATTTTTTTATTAAATACGGACCTGAATACATCGAACAACAAAAAATATAATACACAGTGCAATGGTAAATATTTTTGGAGAAATAAGCGTTTGACATAATATTTTATAATCCTACAGTTTAACGTTTCTCTGCATCAGGTTTTTTTCCCGTATTACACATGGCAGAAATCACGGATTTATAGAGCGAGTTTTTTTGAAAGTGAGTGAGTGAGTGAATGAGTGAGTGACGGAACGGCGGTGGACGAAATCGCTGACGTTTCCGATCGGCCAGAATAAGAATACAAGTCTTATGAAGTGCAGCGGTATTTTTCGAGATTCTTTTCACCAATGCGGCACGGAATTATATAAAATGTTTCTACGTAACCGAGAACTCCGCCGCAGCTCTCCGCTTTGGCGGGGTGTCGGGGAAAAACGCTTACCCGGCAGATTCGCGTTGGCTAAAGCCCTCCTTTCTCTCGTATTTTTTCGTCGCTTGAGTTTTATCTGATAACGGCAAAAATATTTTTCGGCCTCGACCGCGGAAGATGATACACGATCTTTTGTTGTCACAGCAAAAAACCGAAATGATAAATATCGATATGAATTCGAGTCTATTTTTACGATTAACTGTGTTTCGACATTCGGAGTACAAATCTTATATAGTCACAAACGCAGACGATCTGCGTTTATATGTAAGAAATTTATAAAATATTTATAAATTCCAGTTTTATATTATTCATTAAATTAAAATAAATTCTTTATGTTATTTCCGCAAACTGTTGATATGAGAAATGTTGATTTGGATCATTGCACTGAAATTGCAATCTCGTTATTCCAATATTGGATTGTAAATAATCCAATAATCGCATAATACAGATACTTTGAATAATTACTAGCTTTCTACATCGAAGTGTTCGAATATTTGAATTTCGGAGTAGAATTGCGCTACCGTCTGAATATCTGAATATCCAAATGGCATCAAAATTCGGATTCGTTTTGTGGATTACAAAAGCATTTTGCTTTTGCGGACGCAGGAACTTCTCCTCTCTTTGATTCATCGCAACGTACCGCGGGAGATAATCACGGGAAAGCGCAAGTTGGCGCTTTTGAACGGGTTAATTCGCGAAGTGGCATTATTTCCGACGAGATAGCCGCGTTTCGGGGACGGTCACTTCGTTATCAGGCAACCGCGCGTAGTCAACAACGGCGACCTCCGCGGTGCGACGCTGGCAACTTAAATATTTGTCGGAGATT